GAAGGAAGGAAGGAAGGAAGGAAGGAAGGAAGGAAGGAAGGAAGGAAGGAAGGAAGGAAGGAAGGAAGGAAGGAAGGGTGCAGCTAGGTGTGGTTGTGTACTCCTTAGAAAACCTAGCACCTGGGAGTCAGAGGCAGTTTTAAAGAATGGAAAAATGCAATCATGTGATAATTCAATCAGTGATGGACTACATTTTTGACAGTGGTCTCATAAAATTATAATGTAAGGACTGCAGGTGTATCTCAGTTGGTAGAGTACTTGTCTAATGTGCACAAGGCCCTGGGACTTATTCCCAGCACCACATGGACAGTCTCAGTGGTACACGCCTGTATTCTTAGTATATAGGAGGTAGAGACAGGAAGATTAGTGGGTCAATGTCAGCTTCAACAACAGAATAAATTCAGAAGACCAGTCTGTGCTGCATAAAACTATCTAAAATAATAATAATAATTTTTAAATTATATAGCTGAAAACTTTCACTGTGGTTTTTCTGTTCTTATATACATACTTACTAATGTGTTATAGTTGCCTATGATATTTAAGCATTAATAACAATCAGTTTAGATTTAGTATGAAATGATTTTCTTTGCTCTGGCAATTTTCTTAGTGACAAAATAGACACTAATTCACCCTCTCCCCCTTTTTTTCCTCATGCCTAGCATGGTGCAGACCCTACAAAGAAAAACCGAGATGGTAATACTCCTCTGGATCTTGTTAAAGATGGAGACACAGATATCCAAGATCTACTTAGAGGTGATGCAGCTTTGCTAGATGCTGCCAAGAAGGGTTGTTTAGCCAGAGTGAAGAAATTGTCCTCACCTGATAATGTAAATTGCCGTGATACCCAAGGTCGACATTCGACACCTTTACATTTGGCAGGTAAATAAGTGAAAATAGATTTAGACAGGTGACAGCTAAGATTTTATTTGTTTGTGTTTGGTGGTGAATGATACGGGCTTTAAGATCCGAAAACAGCTTTCTAAGAGTCTGATCTTTTTATCATGTGGGTTCCAGGCATCAAACTCAGGTTGTCAGGCTTGGTGGTGGGTGCATTTACTCTTAAATAAAATATTTCCTCTAAGTAAACTTGAAAGATACAAGTCAAATTATCTACCAAAGCTTTTGTTCTATCCTAGTATGTGTGTTTGTACAGAGCATTGTGTTTATACGTGAAACTGTTGGCTGGATTTCACTTCTTTTGGCACTGATTACAGTCAGTAAGAACAATTGCTAGCTGTAGTGGTGCTCATTTTTAATCCCAGCAGAGGCAGGCAGATCTGTGTGAGTTTGAAGCCAGCCTGGTGTATATAGTGAGTTCCAAGACAGCCTGTCTAGAGAAAAGTGGGGAGGGGTAATGAGTAAGAAAAGCTGAAATAGGCTCTGCCAGTCAGTCTGAACTTTGGAAGAAGGTTATAAAAAACTTGCCTACATAAACCAGCCTTCTTCATAGAAAACTGATGTTTTCATTTTCTAATGATAGCTGAAGTATTAGCTGCAAAAATGAATGTCTTCAAAGACTTCCCTTCCCCCATGTAGGTTCTGGGAATCAAACTTCAATTATCAGGCCTGGAAGCAACTACCCTTACCCCACTGAGCAATCTCATCAGCCCCAACTTTTATAAGATTTTTCGTGCTATATATATTTTATATTTATTTGTATGGGTGTATAGTCAGTGTTTCTTTGGACTGTGAGCTCTTAAATATTGACCCAGAGACTTATTAATTAATTATGAAGCCTAGCTTTAGCTTAGGCTTGTTCCCAACTAACTCCTATAGCTTAAATTAACCTCTTTATATTAATCTATAGTCTGCCACATGGCTCATTACCTCTCCTCCATACTGTATGTCCAGTTCTCATCCCCCCCACTCCACACCCCACTCCTGCTACCTCTCATGTGTGAATCTCTGCCTGAGTTCCTATCTCTGCCTGGAAGTTCCTCCTATCCTCTCCTGCCTAACTATTGGCCATTCAGCTCTTTATTAAACCAACCAGAAGGTGCCTTGACACTTCTTCATGGTGTACCATGGGTGTTTTGCCTGCATGGATGTTTGTGTGCCACATGTGTGCCTGGTACCTGTAGAGGTCGTTAGATCCCCTAGAACTGGAGTTACAAATGGATGTAAGCTGCCCTGTTGATGCTGGGAACCAAATCTAGATCCTCTGCAAGAACAAATGCTCTTAATGCTGAGCCGTCTCTCCAGCCCTTGACATTACTATTTTAAGTCCACATTATCTTTTTAAGTTGCAAATACATTGTTTGGTTTGTTTTTTGAGACAGGGTTTCTCTGTGTAGGCTTGGCTGTCCTAGAACTAGCTCTGTAGACCTTGAACTCAAGAGAACCCACCTGCCTCTGCCTTTTGAGTGCTGGGATTAAAGATGTGTGCTACCACCACCTGGAGTTGCAAATACATTTTATATACAAAATGTATCTACCCTCTTCTAATAGTGTTAATATTTGGGCCGTGAAGAAACTCGGTCATAAACTGTATGCCATGCAAGCATGAAAACTTGAGTTCACTTTGCCAGCACTGAGGGGCAAAGATAGAACATTTCTGCAGCTTGCTGACTACCTGACTAGCTGAATGAGTGGGCTCTAAATTCAGTGAGAGACCTTGCCTCAAATAATCGGGTGGGGGACCTGTGAGATCCCTCAGTGGGTAAAGGTACTCCTCACAGGAGCCTGACAAATTGCATTCAATATCCGGAACCCATATAGTGAAAGGAGAGAGTCAACTTCAACAAGTTTTCTGACTTGTGTACATCACAAACGTGTACAGACAATAAATAATACACAATTTTTTTTATTTCTTATGTGTACAGTCTTCTGCTTGCATGTATACCTGTAGCCCAGAAGAGGGCACCAGATCTTATTACAGATGGTGGTGAGCCATCATGTGGGTGCTTGGAATTGAACTCAGGACCTCTGGAAGAGCAGCCAGTGCTCCTAACTGCTGAGCCATTTCTCCAGCCCAATACACATTTTTTTTTTAAAGTGTAAAGCTGCTAGGCCTCATGGTGCACACCTTTAATCACAGCACTTGGAAGGCAGAAGGAAGTACATTTCTGAGTTGGAGGCCAACCTGATCTAAAGAGTTCCAGGACAACCAGGACTACACCAAGAAGCCGTATTGCAAGGGGTAGGAGTGGAGGGGGAGAGCAATAGGGGAAAAGACTATGTTTACCTCTGGCTTCCCACATTCACCCACATAATACACACAAACACTACACCTTGTGACAGTTTCAGTGCTTTAAATCCTTAAAAATAGATGACATGTGCTTTAAGATAGACATGATAAAACATTTAAAAGCATTATCATTGTTTTTATATTGGGGAAAATGACAAATTCATCTGTGATTGTGTGTCTAGAGATACTTTGCTGTAAGAGAACTCTGAGATAGCTGACAGGATACAGGTTATACCATGTTTCAGAGTTCTGAGCTTTCCTCTTGGTCTTCATAGTGCTAAGGTTGCTCTGTAATTTGTCTCCTAAGTGCTCTCCTTAGGCTGAAGCCTGTTTCTACAACCTTCCGAGAGAGATGTCTCCTGTTTTGCAGCTAGATGATTAGGTGCCTGTGGTTTTTAGCCTTGAAGTCATACACCTGAGCTTAGGACATTATATGTAACAACATGAAGTCAGGGCCTTCGGTAGGGAAGTTTTATTTTTTAATTTGTTTTTGATTCTTTGTGCTTTCACATCATGCATTCCGATACCACTTATTATCCTGCCCCTCATGTCCTCCTTCTGCCCCCCTCCAAACAAAGCCAAATTTAAAAGAAAAAAACAAAACAAGGAAGAATCTGATCATGTAAACTGTGGTTTGGCCCAATGAGACAGACACACAGTTTACCTACCCTTTGTCCATTTATCTTCACTTGCAAGTGTTCCTTGCCACAGGTCATTCAACTGGTTCAAGGCCTTTGTTTCTGGCACACCACCAATAAAAGGCTCACATGGGGCTCCTCTTGGATATCCTGTTGTTGGCCTGTGTCGTGCAGATCCTCCTGATTTGGAAGTAGAGAATTTTTAAATAGATAGAGGAAAGTCTTTCTATAATTTGATAGATCTGAAAAACCAATGACTAACAAATAATACTAAAAGCTTCTAACGTTTTAGGCCAATGGGGTTTTTTTTCCACGAGATAAAATACTAATAATTTAAGATTTACATAAAATTTAGTAATATCTACAAAAATATGTTAGCTATGTGGGTAATACATGATTTTTCTACATTTATAAGTGAAAGTAATGCTACTTCTTTCCTGAATTAGCTGGTTACAATAATTTGGAAGTTGCAGAGTATTTGTTGCAACATGGAGCTGATGTGAATGCCCAAGACAAAGGAGGACTCATTCCTTTACATAATGCAGCATCGTATGGGGTAAGTTCTTCAGTGTTGCCTTTTAAAATGTATGTGATTTCTCAAAGAGGATGTCAGTATCACAGTTTAAATGGAATTTGGTGTGACTTCTTTCACAAAGAACTAAATAAGTTAAATTACATAGAAGTTTTAGTTCTTAATCTGTTAGAAGGATGCTGTGTGACATGGCAATATATTTGTCATTTGTTGTAGTATCCTTGGCACCTGTCTCCTTATTTTTGATGAAATACTGATTTGTGTGTATGTGTCCAGAAAATCCATAGGTTTCATAGGAATCTTTAGAGATTCAGATACATTTTTACAGACTTCCTACAACCCTGAAGATTCTGGTTAACACTGACCTTTGTCAGTGGTCTAGTTTGACTAACTGGGGAAGGCTACTAGTTTTTACATTTATGTTCACAAGAATTAGTTAGAAATCACTGAAGTTGTATTAGTTTATTTTCCTATATTAGATTTTGAACTGTAATTCTTAAGCAACTACGCATAAGTCACAATGCTGAGAAGAAATAGCTTTATTTTTTATTTCCAAAATAAGTTTGAAAATAATGAGGTAGGTAGATACAGAGCCAGGATTTGTTTTGTTTTGTTTTGAGATAGATCCTCTCTACATAGCTCTGGTTGTCCTGGAACTTACTGTGTAGACCAAGCTGGCCTCAGACTCACAGAGCCCTGCCTACTTTTGCCTCCTGAGTGCTGGGATCAAAGGTGTGGACTTCCATGCCCAGCTCAGAACCAGTTTCTTAAGTTAAGTGCCATAAAGCATTTCCAACTGTAACAGGAATATTTTCTTTTACAGCATGTAGACGTAGCAGCTTTACTGATAAAGTACAATGCGTGTGTCAATGCCACGGACAAATGGGCTTTCACACCGTTACATGAAGCAGCCCAAAAGGGACGGACACAGCTTTGTGCTTTATTGTTGGCCCATGGAGCTGATCCTACTCTTAAAAATCAAGAAGGACAAACACCTTTAGATTTAGTTTCAGTAAGTGATGGGCTCTTTGAAACTCAGAAAGTTCAAATGACATGCATAAAATGTCTGCATGGTTTTAGCCCAAATTTAAATTTAGGAGTCCTTTGGTGTTGTGATAAGTAGATAAATTATTAGTCAGTTATTGTATACTTTGGATTCTTTGGGGAAAAGAACAGCAGTTGGGAAACAAAACAGGGTCCCCGGGGGGGCCCCCCCCCGGTCCTCTGTAATTTTGTTGCAGTGCATAGTACTATAAATTGAATATTGTACCAACTTACCCAGTTAGGTGCACCTCAAGGTGTAGTTGCAAAGCCTGCTATTAGCAAAGATTCTGTGTCCTTCCTTGCTGCTTCTTCCTATTGTTACTGTTTACCCTGTTACTGTTTAGAGCTATCTATGTGAGAGCCAGCTAGATGGCTCAGCTGGTACAGGCACTTGCTGTCAGACCTAACAGCCTGAGTTTAATCCCAGGACCCACCTGGTAGAAGAGAGAGCTGCCTCCCACAAGTTGTCTTTTGACCTCCACATGTGTACCTTGGCACACATGCACCCACACACATACATGCCCACAGAATAAATAAAATTAATGCTTAAAATATTTTTTAAGGTTTATAAAATAAAGTGAGGATTTTTTTTTTCCCTTCTCTTTTCATGGCCAGTCATGTAGGAACCTCCTTTGTAACTCCCAAATCTATGTCAGTCGCCAGTTCTTGCCTTTGCCACCAGAGCAGTAAAGTAGAAGAAAGGAAAGTTTTGTCCTACATGGATCTTTGAAACAGAGTCTGTTATATAGTCCTGGCTAACCTGGAACTTGCTGTTTATCAGGCTGGCCTGGAGTTGTTGGGATTTTTTGTTTGTTTGTATTTTTAAGATTTATTTTTATACATATATGTGCGTCTATATATGTTTATGTGCACCACTTGTATGCTGATGCCAGAAGAGGCCAGAGAATGTCAGATTCTCTGGAACTGGAGTTACAGGTTGTAAACCACTTGATGTGGGTGCCTGGAAAGTGAATCTGAGTCCTCTGGAAGAAAAGTAAAGGTTCTTAACTGCTGAGCCATCTCCAGCCCTTTGCACCCATCTCTTACCTGCCCCTCCATGTGCTAGAATTACAAGCATGTGCCACCACACCTTGTAAGAAACATTTTGGAATGAGAAATATAATGTCTTCTATGGAGAGACTATTCCAACCAGTTGGCCAACTAACTGATTTAATTTGACTGCATTTAAAGAGATGTTCCCCAGAAGGCTAATTACCCCAAACCATATTTGCACAAGGATTTCTTAGAAATGTCTCTTTGGTTCCAAACTGATTAAGAAGGAAGCATTTAGAGTTTATTTCTCCCAAACATTGATTCACCAGATATAATTAGTGGCAAGAAAAATAAAATGCTCTAGAGAATGCCTAGAGCCTAGGGAGATGGCCAACTGAGTAAACCACTCGTTGCACATGTGTGAGAATCTGAGTTTGAATTCCCAGAACCCACATAAAATCTGGATACATATAGTATGAGCATATGTGAAAGGTAGGAGTTCTCTAAAAACCCAAGGGTCGACTACCCAGCTTCACAGTCGTGATGAGACCATCTCAAACATGGTCAAAAGTGAGGACCATCACCTAAGACTCCTAACCTCCACAGATTTATACACTCATACACACATACACATTATACACATACCCACAAAATAAAATTGTAAAGATGGTTTTTAGGGGAGTGAAAGCATGCATGAACTTTAGAGCTTTAGGCCTGACCTAAGCCCTACTACTTACAGTTGCAGTCTTGCTAGTTGCCTAGTCTGTAACGTTTAGAAGCATCATCTATAAGAGATAAAATATATCTGGTTAATGAAATTAAGCGTTGTAATAATATCTAAAGCCTTTAGATTCAGGTACAAAAATGTACCCAATAAATGGTCTTTTTTATAGATAAATACTATATACAAACTGTAAGGTCAAGAGATGCACAAATTGAAGAGGAAGAGAAAGGTAAGGGTGTGGAGATTATAAATGACTAACCAAGAGAGCATCCCTGTTGATTATTACTTAGTATCTTTTTATGTATTATTTTTTAATTGTTTATTGGGGAAAAGAGGCTTGAATATGCTTCAGTATACCTGTAGAAGTCAAAGAATTACTTGTGGGAGTCCATTATCTCATTATATCATGTGCGAACCAGGGATCAAACTCAAGTCATGAGGCTTACTGGCAGTTACCTTCCCTCTGGGCCATCTCTCCAGCCTGTTCCTTAGTTTATTGTTTCAGCATGGTAAATAAGTGTACATCGTTAGTGACACGGGTCTAGCACAGAATTTAGAGACTGTTCTTTCCTAGCAGTTTGATTAAAATTATCTTGTACCGAGAAAAAAAAAGGTTTTCTCAGTTTTGAGTAATAAATCACTGTTTTCTAAAACCTACAAATGGTTCTGTTTTCTAAAGTTTTGTATAGGTTGAATTGCTAATGTAAGAGTTATTATAATAGGATTAAAGGTTTTTTCAGTTAGTTGTTCCGTAATTAATTTCATTTCCTTTCGGCCGTGATGTCAAAATTAGCATGTTGTTCATCGTACTTTGCATAATTTAGCAGTTTGTTTACTTGTGACCTGGAAAGGGTGCTCTGGATTACATTTTATATTTAGTGACAATTAGCTAGCTGGGTTTCAGCCTGTTTGTTTCACTCTTAATTTTTTTCTAGTATTTCTCAGTGTCATATAACAGACCCAGTGTGAAATGCTAGGTTGTCCTGTTTTTACTGCATCTTATTAGGCACAGAAGAATTGTAAACCTTGTTTGTAACAGACTTCATCTCCTTGTAATGTGTCCCAGGCAGACGATGTCAGCGCTCTCTTGACAGCAGCCATGCCCCCCCTCTGCTCTACCTTCATGCTATAAACCTCAAGTGCTCAATGGTGTGAGGAGCCCCGGAGCTACCACAGATGCTCTGTCTTCAGGTCCATCCAGCCCTTCAAGCCTTTCTGCAGCTAGCAGTCTTGACAACTTATCTGGGAGTTTTTCTGAACTGTCCTCAGTAGTTGGTTCAAGTACAACAGAAGGTGCTACCAGTTTGGAAAGAAAGGAAGGTGAGAAATTCTGTAAACATAGCTATAGCTCATATAGTAACTCCATGTTTGCCGTTTAGAATGGTAGGAAATTGTCCTTTAAATCTTAAATACAATTCTTTATATGAAATAAATAACATAGCTTGAACATAGTCACATTTTTTTTCTTCTATTAATGATGTAAATAGAATTCCTGTAGAAACTCGGTTCAAGTTGAAAGTTGGTGAACGTGGTACTGCGACTTATTATATGTGTGTGCATGCATGTGTGCAAACTTGTGCCATGGTGTTTGGAGGTCCGATGACAGCTTTGAAAAGTGGGGTCTTAACTTCCCCCTTTAAGTGGATTCCAAGGATTGAACTTGGGTTGCCAGGTTTACAAAGCAGGTCCTTTTTACCAGTCAAATTCATCTTACTCAATACAACATTTAAAACTTTTTCATTAGTTTTGTCACAAAGGAACCTGAAGGCTGGTTTTTTTTAAAGATAAGGCTAAAAGGAAATTTTTAATTGAAAATAAAATGAGAAATATTTAAATTTGAGAAGACCCACTGCTTAACTGCTTAAGCCGAGCACGATGACACACACTCAGATATGTGGGTTTCTGAGTTTGAAACCAGCCTGGTCTACAGAGGACTTCCCAGGCTAGCTAAGGCTGTGTAGTGAGACCCTGTCTCAAAAAAAACAAAAAACAGGTTTTACAGGATTCTTGTTAGTTTTTAGTATAGCGTAAGTGGCTATTAGTAATTTTGCTTCTTTGATACATTCTTCACATATATAGTAACACGACAGCATTTATGTTTATAGTGTTATTGTACATTATTCTTATGTGAAATTTTGTTCTGGACTTTTTCCTTCCAGATCCAGGCGTAGATTTCAGTATAACTCAGTTCATAAGGAATCTTGGGCTTGAGCACTTAATGGATATATTTGAGCGAGAACAGGTGAGTAATAAGTTGTATTGTTTGATTTAGTGTTTCATAGAAACTCAAAATCTGGAAAATGCTTGAAATTACTTAAACCTTATAAGCTATTGGGAAATGTTTTAGTAGAGCGTCTGCTGTGTTTAGTGCTAGGTACTGAACCCTGGGCCTCCTGCATGCTGAGTGTACTGTGTACTAGTGTTCTGTCTGCTGCAGCTCTGAGAGTGTTGACACAGGAAATCAGTCACCTGATTTGGCTTGACTTTGGGGTCTCACTTAGTTCAGTATATCTGAAAATTGACAGATGTAGTAATGGAACATCCTCCATGATAACATGGTTGCCTGATTCCTTGAATTAAGTTATCTTTGAGCCGTTTCTTCAGTTCTGTTATTCCGGTCAGTGCCCACCGTAAGCCTGACATACTGCTGTCTGCAGTGGACAAGAATGTGAATGTGCTAGTTCTACATTTAAGCTTTTCTGAGTAGCCAGTTTACATATACCTATCCTTTTTAAGATTTATTTAATGTGTATGAGTGTTTTGCCTGCTTATGTGCACCACATGCATGCCTGGTGCCCATGGGGTCAGAAAAGGATGTCAGATCCCCTGGAACTGGAGTAATGGATGATTGAAAGCCACCACTTGGTTACTGGGGACCAAACCCCAGTCCTCTGAAAGAGCAACAAGCTGTCTCTTAACCAGTGAGCTGTCTCTCTAGCCCCTACATGTACTTACTTGTTGTCATTGCTTTTGTGATTGTTCAGAAATTATAATTACTATACACTTAAACCTGCAGTGAACTGCAATCTGGTTAGGGAGGTGGAACAGAAACATGAAAATTTATGGTCCGACAAAGATTTTAGTAAATTTAAAGAAGAAAAGGATTATTGTTAACTGGACTTAGTAGAGGTGGCTTTATAGAAGTTATAGAAATGAAACAAAATTCATGGCTTCAGTTTCATGAAGCGGGAATGGTTTATTTTTGGTGAGAGTTTCAACAGTGATGCAGAGGTACTACTTAGCATAGTCCACATCCTGGAGGAGCCGTGCCAGGCGCTGTGTGAAGGCTTTGATGGAGAGCAGTGGTGAGAAAGTATGGTGGAAGGATGGAGTTTGAAAGGACATTTATGACTGAACATATTCTGCTCCAACTTTTTGAGTTTAACATGATTTGTTTTCCTATCAAAGCTATCCAAAATACAATAATAAGAAATGGAGTTGTAGAAGTGGCCAAGGTTTGATTCCTAACAGTTGTCTGTAACTCTAGTTGTAGGGGATGGGGAGGTTGTGAGAGCCTTTTGTAGCTCCCAAGGGCAGTGCATGCACAAACATACAGACAATACATTCATATACATAAAATGTATCTTAATAAAAATGTGAAATAAAGATGAGTATTATGAGAATATAAATATATGTGTCTACCAAATAAACATTCTGAATAATTTTATTCTCTTTTATAAGATCACCTTGGACGTGCTAGTTGAGATGGGGCACAAGGAGCTGAAAGAGATTGGAATCAATGCTTATGGACATCGACACAAGCTGATTAAAGGGGTTGAAAGACTAATCTCTGGACAGCAAGGTATTTCATTTTGATAACCGTTTGACAGTAAGTGTTCTATAAAGGTAGCCTCGGTGTAACACTTTAGAGTCTGTGACAGGCTCTTTTTAGTAGGGTTTTCAAACAAAGATAAGGCCTCTACTGATGGTTAAAACTTCCTGATGCTACTATTAGATATATGACCCAAAGGAAAATTCCTTGGCTCATGCAGAAATTTTTTTTTAATATTTATTTATTGTGTATACAGCATTCATTCCATGTATACCTGCAGGCCAGAAGAGGGCACCAGACCTCATTACAGATGGTTGTGAGCCACCACGTGGTTGCTGGGAATTGAACTCAGGACCTTTGGAAGAGCAGGCAATGCTCTTACCCTCGGAGCCATCTCTCCAGCCCCCTCATGCAGAAATTTTAAGATTATTTTAGCTCCTGGAAAATGGGAAGATATAATTAGTGAAGTTACACTAGCTCTAAGGTGTTAAAATGTTAAAAGATCTGGAGCATGAGTGTCTTTCTTATGTTAGCATGCTAGATAATAATTATATTAGGCAGTCGGTAAGATATGTAATGTTTTAGGGGCTAGAGAGATGGCTCAGCGGTTAAGAGCTCTGGCTGCTCTTCCAGAGGACCCAAGTTCAATTCCCAGCACCCATATGGCAGGTCACAACTGTCTATAACTCCAGTTTCAGGGAATCTGATACCCTCACACAGGTAGACACGCATGCAGGCAAACACCAATGTACATAAAATAAGTCTTTTTTTTAAAAAAAAAAAAAAGAAGAAGAAGAATTTTCATAACGTGTTAGCTGAAGGAAAATGCAAATTACATTCACTCAACAGATGCTAGCACCTGTGTGTACCAGAGCTAAGTAAAAATTAGCTGGGTGGTGGTAGCACATGCCTTTAATCCCAGGACTCGGGAGGCAGAGGCAGGCGGATCTCTGTGAGTTCGAGGCCAGCCTGGTCTACAAGAGCTTTAGGACAGGCTCTAAAGCTTTAGAGAAACCCTCTCGAAAAACAAACAAACAAAAAAAGTGAATTATTTTAAGGGTCAAAACCACATTTTTTACTTTCCATTAAACTGAAATGGTGAGTTACCCTGATGCTCTCTTACCAGTGATAGGAACATAAATTAGTGCAACCACAATCGATAATAGTAAAGCTAAATATATAATTATGGTTCCATATTACCACCCCTGGGTGTATACTTAAAGAACTCTAAACCAGCACATCCCAGAGATAGTTGCATATCTATGTCTAATAACTGCACAGTTCACAAGAACTAGGAAATGGAATCAGCTTAGATGTCCATCAGCAGATGAATGTATATAAAAAATGTGGTACATATACACAATTCTATTCAGCTGTAGTGGAATAAATTATGACATTTGCAGCAAACTAGCTCTCCCTGAAGGTCATTATGTTAAACAAAAATAAGCCAGACTTGCATCAATACCATTTGTTTTCTCTCACGTGGAATCTAGATTTAAATGCATGTGAAGCATGGAAGTAGGAAGATGATGAGAATGGGAGGAACAAGAGAGGAGAATAGGGGAATCTGTGATACAGAAAAGCAAAAAGGAAGCTGAGACATGGTGGCACACACCTTTAATCCCAGCACTTGGAGGACAGATGAGTCTGTTGGATCTCTGTGTTTGAGGCCATCCTGGTTTAGGAAAGTCAGGACTACATAGAAAAACCTTATCTTGAAACACAAAAAGAAAACAAAGGAGTAAAATAGGAAAGTAAGGAAGGTGGGGGGACAGCAGAGCTTGGTGGTTTTGTAGATACTGAAAGATAAAAAAGCAATATTGCAGATATGACAAATAAATTAGAAGGATTTTGTTGGAAACTCTATTAAAGAATTTGTTATCAGTAGTCAGGTAACAACCTTTATGGACTTATAGGATGGTTTTTAATTGCCTGGGGCTGTTCAAGTCTCCATCATAACTCTTCCTCATAGTTACAGAATGTGAAAGGATTACTTTATTAAAAGACTGAACAGTTACTAAAGGAAGTAATTTTGAAGAGTTTATAAACTCATTAGCAATAAGGGAAAGGAAATTTTCATAAATAGTCTCTAAAACTGCTATAACCTGTTTGGTTAAAAAATAGTTTCTTGAGGGACTGACGAGATGGCCTAGCAGGGCTGGTGTCCTGATTTTGCAGAAGACCGGGGTTTACATGGCTGCTTGCAGCTCTCTATTCCAGCTCCAGGTGTCCTCTTCTGGCCCCTGAAGGCATTGTACATACATACATGCAAACAAACATACAGATGAGTCTTTAAAAGTTAGTGTGCAGAGGTAGAGCTACAGAAATGGCTTAGTGGGGGAGCTGGAGAGATGGCTCAGCAGTTAAGAGCATTGCCTGCTCTTCCGAAGGTCCTGAGTTCAATTCCCAGCAACCACATGGTGACTCACAACCATCTGTAATGAGGTCTGGTTCCCTCTTCTGTCCTGCAGGTATACACGCAGACAGAATATTGTATAAATAATAAATATTAAAAAAAAAAAAGAAATGGCTTAGTGGTTAAGAGTACTTGTTGCCTGATTATGAGAACCAGAGTTCAGATCTCAGAACCCACATAGCAATAACAAGCTGAGCAACTGCCTCTAACTCAGCCGAGGAACCTGATGCTGGCTTCTCAACTCTGCATACAGAGGCACATGCGCCCACACACATATAGCTAGGTATACACCACACACTCTAGTAATCTGAATATAATGTGCTATCATGGTTTTGATCCTGTAAGAGAGAGGATATATGAGTTTATAAACATATTTTCTTCTTCAAATTACTTCCTTTAGTAACTGTTCAGTCTTTTATTTTAATAAAGTAATCCTTTCACATTCTGTACTATGAGGAAGACTTATGATGGAGACTTCGTAGAAAGAATTTATGCAGTCCGAATGAAGCATGTGTTAGGAAGTTTTGACAACTGTAATATGTTTACAAAAAGTTCTATATAACCCTGGAGAAAGTTGGGTGAAGTGTGTACCTGTCTGCACTTTCTACATTTTTATAAGCCTATAAATTATTATGAAATTAATATTTTGGAGACTTGGTAGTATTGGGTAAATCATGTGATTGTTTTGGGTTAGTGCTATTTTATTGTCAGTTTTTTACTTATACATTTTATTTCATAGGTCTTAATCCATATTTAACTCTAAACAACTCTGGTAGTGGAACAATTCTCATAGATCTGTCTCCTGATGATAAAGAATTTCAGTCTGTGGAAGAAGAGGTATGTTCATCACACTTAAGAAAATGGTCATATTGTTGACTCAGTTGCTGCTTCCTAGACATTTCCAGATCTATTTGAATGTGGGATTTTTGTTTGATTTTTTTTTTGGTTTATTGTTTTGTTTTCCCTCTTTTCACCACCTAGAAAATTTGGAAGTATTTATAATGCATTTCTCCCCCACATACACACTCCTTTTATCTTAATTTACTTATATTTTCCATTGATGTTTTGCCTGCATGAGCGTCTGTGTGAGGGTGTTGGTTCCCCTAGAACTGAAGTTATAGTTATCAGCTGCCATGTGGATGCTAAGAATTGAACCTTGGTCCTCTAGAAAAGCACTTAGTACTTCTAACCACTGAGTCATCTCTCCAGCCCCCTACAATGAATTTCTTAATTAGCCTTAATTTTAGGTACTTGTATTACTACTTCTGTTAGTGTTGAACCAGAATTCTGTTGGAGAGGGCTCTCATTTGAAAATAGTGCGAGTGTTCACTCCCTTTATAGAGGCAGTTACAAAGTGAGAAAGCTCAGGCAGTTCTCAGCATGTAGATAGTGTTAACGCACACACCCCTTGTGATTTTTTTTTTTCTTTTTTTGAAACAAGGTCTCAATATGTAACCCTGGCTGTTCTGGAGTTCACTCTCTAGACCAGGCTACCTCTGACTCCCCAGTGCTGGGATTAAAGGTGTGTGCCATCACATCCTGCTGACGAGTCTCTCTACACTCTGATGTACATGTGCTTCATCTGTTTAAATTAAGCTCAGATATAAAATTCAGTGAGATTTACTTCTAAAGCTCATACTCTCAAGAAAATATATATTATGCTTTATTTAGGCTAATGTAAGCACAGATAAACCATTGTTTTGCTTTTATGTTTAACATTTTTTATTCTCTTTTATCTTAGTTTTCATTATGTAACTTTTCACCTGTAAATATGTTTTTAGAATGTTTAGTAGTCATCTCTAGAAGATAATGCTCATGATAATTCCAGTCCTCGAGTCAGGGGCAGGCAGATTTCTGAGTTCAAGGCCAGCCTGGACTATAGAGCAAGTTCCACAATATCCAGAGCTACAGAGAGAAAAACTCAGTCTCAAAAGAAGAAAAAATAATACTCATGAGTTTATAGAATTTTTGTCCTTTCAAGACAAATCCTATCTTGGATTCTCAAAAAATAGGAACAAATGAAGCAAAACCATGTTCCCCAAGTCAGAATGTCAAAACTAATGTCTGTGTTTTCGATTCTTTTCTGTCAGATGCAGAGCACTGTTCGAGAGCACAGGGATGGAGGTCATGCAGGTGGCATCTTCAACAGATACAATATTCTCAAGGTAACAGTAAAGGTTCCCAAGACCATTACTTTCCATAGCCCCAGCTCTAAGTGACTGATAAGAACATAATGATCTGTTCAGCAGAGTGCTCTTTGACATGACTTCAGGGGCTACTGAGGGGAAGATTGTGTCCTCCAAGACTTAAAATTCTCAAAAGCTCTCTTCATTTTTTCTTTTCAGACAGGGTTACACTATCTACTTAGGCAAGTCTAGAATTTGAGTCTCCTGCCCTAACCTCCCTAGTGCTGGTACTAAGTAAGATCAGATGTGTGGACCACCATGCATAGCTTTTTTTTTTCTAAGATTCATTAATTTTTGAACTGGAAAGATGGCTCAGAGATTAAGAGCACTGGCTGTTCTTCTAGATGTCCTGAGTTCAATTCCCATCAACCACATGACTGCTCTCAACCATCTGTAATGAGATCTGATGCCCTCTTCTAGCATGGAGGCAGGCACGCAAAAAAAAACATTGTATACATAATAGATAAATCTTTAAAAAAATTGTTGTTTATTTTTAGGCTAGGCATGGTGGCGCATGCCTTCTAATGCTAGCACTTAGGAGGTAGAGACAGTCAGATCTCTGAGTTCAAGGCCAGCCTGGTCTTCAGAGCAAGTTCCATGACAGCCAGGGTTACACAGAGAAATCCTGTCTTGAAAAACGAATAAAAAACAAACTTATGGGTTGGCTAGTTGGCCCAGCGGTTACAACTGTCTGTAACTCCAGGTCCAGGGGGTCTGATGTCAATGCATATAAAATAAAGTTTAAAAAGTTTAAAAAAAAAATTTAAAAAAATAAAAATAAAAACAAAGTTATTGAACAGTGTCAGTATGCCTTGAAGTGGATACGTCCTTTAGGTCAGTCAGCACTAAAGCTTACTTAGTTGGCTTGATTGTATCTGCTACAATCAGATCATCCAGGCAAAGGGGAACACTTTTCTAAGGAGGTGTGTGAGCTGTGAAACCAGGAGAGGAGCTGATTTCTAAATTACTATGTTCGGTTTGAAAAAGCTGCATTTCCTCCTCCTCCTCAAAGGTATTTCAGTGCAGTATTTAATTGTGTGTGCGTGTGCTAAAATGGCTTTATATTCATTCTATTTTATACATATATAAGGTCAGTTTGTGCCGTGTATCGTCCTTGATTACGTCTGTTACCAGTCTTTTGAATTTTTTCTTTCCTTTTTTTTTATTTGTTTATTTATTTTTTTTGAGCCAATACTAAACTGTAGCTCTGATGTGTGCTCTTAGGGACCACAGGTCCTGTAGCACTTAGTGCTGTAATTGTCCGTTTGACCATAGAGATGACTCCAGTAGGAACTGGAGGAAAAAGGGATTAATAGGAAGAAGGTGGGGTAACGTGTGGTGGGTAGCTAGTTCAAACCATGTTTATGGTATTTTGAATCTGATCAAGTCGGGAAAGCAGAGTACTCTGTTCTTTTTCTTCTCTACAAAGTTTAGCATGTCTGAGGTATTTCAGGTAATGGCTTAGTAATGGTTTTTATTTAAGTAATACTTGGTATTTTGAGTAATTTTAAAATTGAAGTATTTTGTGCAACTTTCAAGTATTCTTGGCCCCTTCATGGTCATGTGTAGTCTTTTTGTCCTTTGGAAAAGGCTGTTACATGCATTTAAACTCACAGATACACACTGCGTATGCACAGCCACATACATGTGAAGGTCTGAGGACAGCTTAAGGGAATTGATTCTTTTTTAGTTGTGTGGTATTTTTTGGTAAGATAAAAAGAATTATTTAATTTCCCTGGTTTTTAAAGATTCAAAAGGTTTGTAACAAGAAATTGTGGGAAAGATATACACACCGGAGAAAAGAAGTTTCCGAAGAAAACCACAACCATGCGAATGAAAGGATGTTATTTCATGGTACGTTCTCACCCTGTCCTCCATGTGATTGTATGTGGTTACTGCTATGGTTGTCATTGTTGCCTTCTCTTCTTTCCTTTTGAGACAGCATTTCTCTGTGTAGCCCTGGCTGTCCTAGAATTTACTCTGTAGACCAGACTGGCCTCAAACTCACAGACATCTACCTCCGAAGTACTAAGATTAAAGTCATGTGTCACCACTGCTCAGAAACTTACATCTTCTTAATTAAGATATTGTTTCTGTAACTTTTACATTTGTGTTTATACTGTGATAATGTACCTTATAATGAACATTTTTATAAATTAAGATTACCCCATTTGGAGCCAGCAAGATGGCTTATTAGGTAAAAGCCTTGTCACAGAAGCCTAATGACCTGAGTTCAGTCCCCAAAATCTGATGGAAGGAGAGAAGTTCTGAAGTGTGTGCTGGCAGACACAGACACACACAGACACACAATGAACGAGAGAGAGAGAAAGAGAGAGAGAGAGAGCAAGAGAGAGAGAGAATTTTTAGTGAATTCCCTTGATAGGAAAAAGCAGAAATTAGAATGCTGGCCTGTTGGTGGTGGTGCATGCCTTTGATCCCAGCACTCAGGAGGCAGAGGCAGGTGGATCTCAGTGAGTTCCAGGACTGTTACACAGAGAAACCCTGTCTTGAAAAACAAAACAAAAAAAGAGTGTTGACCATTTCTTTCTTTTTCTTTACAGAGATTTGATGTTTAGATCGCTCTGAAAAGTTGCATTTTACTTATAGCTAGTTGATTAGATAAAGACATGAAAATCATCTTTGTAGATTGAATACATCCTATTGTTGTTTTGTTTTAAGAAAAGTTCTCACTACCAGCACACAGGCTAGCCTAAAATTGACAAAAATCCACCTGCTTTTGGCCCTCATATTCTGTTTAATGTGTCAAAACCATATTTAGCTTCCTTCTAATCTAAAAAAAAAAAAAATTGTCTTTGAACCCAGAAAGGTTACTGGAAATGCTTCTGGGACTGAAAGCACTATGATTTGTCATGCTTAAAAAGACGGTTTTATTTCCTGAGTTGGCAGGTATTGGTCTTTTCAGGTTTATAGCAGAGCTAAGTATAGGTTTTCACATTGTTTATCAAAGCCTTTCGGTATCTTACCCATAGGCCCTTCGGAAACTATAAAGATTGATAAAAGTGTTAAGCTTGACAGTCTCCTATTAGAATAGTTATAACTGGACAGATTCTTGTACTCATTCTAAAGACATAAAAGGTCATAACAATAATTTCATGACACTTACTAACTTGGTGTTAACTTATTACTTATTAACTTTGTGTTATAATGAATGGATTATCTTGTTTTGGATAGCATCTCTCGTAGCCAAAGCTAGCCTCAAACTGTGTAGTGGAGGATGACCATAAACTTCTGATACTTCTGTCTCTATCTCCCAAGTGCTGGAGTTACAGGCATATTCCACTGGTCTGCTGTTGAATGTTTTTTGTTGTTTCTTGTTTGTGTTTGTGTGTTTTAAACTAAACAAATGGTGAGTTTGTTTGTTTTATTTTTTGGATTAATTCAAAATATAGCTCTATTCAATATTTGTGTAAGGTAAAATACAGTATGTTTTCTTTTCCCTTAGTGAATAGACTACTGGTTTTGTTTTTAAAGATTTATTTATTATGTATACAGTATTCTGCCTGCATGTATGCCTGCAGGCCAGAAGAGGGCACCAGATCTCAATCATAGATGGTTGTGGGCCACCTTGTGGTTGCTGGGAATTGCAAGACCTGATTGTATTTGTTTAACTTTGCTATATGAAGTGAATTGTGACACTCTCGGTCCTGGATTTATTTATGTTTGACTCTGGAATTTGATAACTTTTACATCAGTTATTTCAAATAATATGTTGGGGATTTGTTGTTGTTTTTGTTTTTTTCCTGATCGAATCTGTCCTTTATCATCTTAACCACAACCCTATTAGAATTTCTGTCACTATTAGGAATCCTTCTCTAAAAATAACAAGCCAGGGTCTGAAGAGATGGAGATGGCTTAGCAGTAATGAGCACATACTGCTATTGCAGAAGAATAGAGTTAGGTTCCCAGCACTCGCTTTGAGTGACTCGAATCAACTGTCCCTCCCGCTTCAGAGACTACAACACCTCTGGCCTCTGCAGACACCTGCACTTATGTACAAAGAATTTAATGTTCAGGGCTGGGTGTGTGACTCGGTGCTTGATTGGCATGCCCAAAGCCCTGAGTTTAATCCTAGTTTCTTAGAAAAGTTATCTTACCAAAAACTTTAGTTTTGATACTTTCCACCTATTTGTATTTTAGGGTCTCCTTTTGTGAACGCAATTATCCATAAGGGCTTTGATGAAAGGCATGCATACATAGGTGGCATGTTTGGAGCTGGAATTTATTTTGCTGAAAACTCTTCCAAAAGCAATCAGTATGTATATGGAATTGGAGGTGGCACTGGATGTCCAATTCACAAAGACAGATCTTGTTACATTTGCCACAGGTGAGAGTTTTTTATTACTTGTTTTGGTATTAATTAGTTGAAAACTGATTACATATTTGAGAAGCTTGAAGGGGAAGGCATATCTGACAATGTGAAGTATCCAGATAAAACTTTGTCTCCTCACAAGTTAAAATAATAGCTAATATTTACTGGAGGATCTGAATGGGCCAGCATGATTCTAAGCATGTATTCAATTTCTCATTTGAATATTTGGTACTTCATAAAAAATTCTGAGGTGAGCTGGGTGGTGGTGGTTCACACTTTTAATCGCAGCATGGGGAGGGGGAGGGGAGGCAGAGGTAAGTGGATCTCTGTGAATTAGAGGCCAACTTGGTCTACAGAGTGAGTTCCAGGACAGATTCCAAAGCTACACAGAGAAACCCTGTCTCAAAAACAAGCAAAAAATGTAATTACATTTATCGGGGCTGGAGATGGTTCAATGGTTAAGAACACTGACTGTTCTTCTAGAGTTCAATTCCCAGCACCTCACAACTGTAACTCCTGTTTCAGAGGACCTGATACCGTCACACAGACATACATGCAGGCAAAGCAGCAATGCACATAAAATAATAATAATAATAATAATAATAACTTATTTGAGCCAGGCAGTGGTGGCTTATGCCTTTAATCCCAGCACTCGGGAGGCAGAAGCAGGTGAATCTCTTGAGTTCGAGGCCACCTCAACTACAGAGCAAGTTCCAGGATAGCCAAGGCTACACTTAGATACCCTGTCTCAAATTAGAAACCCTGTCTTGAAAAACCAAAAAACCAAACCAAACAAAAAAGGATGTGGAATAGGAAACTTTGGGGCCTGGAGAGATGGCTCAGTGGTTAAGAGCACTGGGCTCCTCTTCCAGAGATCCTGAGTTCAATCCCCAGCAACCACATGGTAGCTCACAGCCATCTGTAATGAGATCTGGCGTTCTCTTCTGGCACTGGGGGTGGGGGGTGCTGAGGTGAGCCAGCAAGGCAGTACACACCTACTGTCCAGCTATGTTGACAGATGAGATGGGACGTTAGGAGTTCAAGGCTACCTAGGCAAACAGAACTAACCCTATCTCACGCAGGAAAAATAGTCAGACATGGTGGAACATGCCTTGCCATTAATCCCAAAACTCTTGAGGCGGAGGCAGGTGACTCTTTGTGTCAAAAGAGAGGCGAAGGTAACATTGAGCACTAAAGAGGCTTTTATTAAAGCCTTTGAATATTGCAGGCCTGTAGATTCCAGAAATCTTGTTACCGGTCTAGGGATAGGCGTGGGGTTTTGGGTTTAATGCCCATCAAATACACTCACATAAACACACAATGCCATTGGTTGTCTAGTTACTAATTTTATGATAATTCCTGTAAGAGTTTCTTTTTCATTATAGTATCCTAATCCTCAGTTTCTAACATTACATCCATAAAATGCTTTAATTCTCTTTAGAACACAGTTATTAAATGACTCTCTACTTTCCCTCTTTTAGTTAGTTGCCTATTCTCAGTTCTTTAAGTCATTTAGGTAACTTAACCCTAATTTATAAAAATCTTTGTAGGCACATAAAGTTTCTTTTGCCATTTGAGAGATCAAATAACATTAGTTACTAAGATTTATTGCGCCGTTAGTGCCCTGATTTTTCAGGCCTTGGCAATACTTTTCAAGCCTTAGAATTTGTCAGAATTACCTTGAAGGTTTGTTAAAATGCAGACTGCTGAGTGTAGAGAAGAGGCACAACAGTAAAAAGAACTTGCTCTTGCAGAAGACCAGAGATTTAGTTCTCTTTGCCCATGTGGTTCACAACCACCTGTAATTCCCAATGCCAGGAGATCTGACACCCTCTTCTGGCCTTCTTGAGCAGGCATACACAAAATATATACATACATACATACATACATACATATATATATATATATATGTGTGGTGTGTGATATTTTACTCTTTTGACTTTTTGAGGGACCCACCACCAAGCTACCAAATAAATCACATACAGTGGTTTATTCCTAGTTATGAATGCTCCGCCTTAGCTTGACTTACTTCTTGCCAGCTTCTCTTAAATTATCCCAACTACCTTTTGCCTCTGAGCTTTTATTTTTCTCTATTTCTCTATACCTTTCTTTACTTCTTCGTGGCTTGCTGTGTAGCTGGGTGACTGGCCCTGATGTCCTCCTTTTCCTCTCAGATTTCTCCTTCTATTTATACTCTCTGCCTGTTGGCCCTGTCTATTCTTGTTCGGCCTCACTATTGGCTGTTCAGCTCTTTATTAGGACCATCAGGTGTTTTAGACAGGCACAGTAACAGCTTCACAGAGTTAAACAAGTGCTGCATAAAGAAAAATCACACACCTCAAAATAATATTCCCAACACAGATCAATACCCATAACCATAATATAAAAATCTTGAAAAACAACAAAACAAGCATGCAGACCTCTAGGACCCACCTCTTACATGGCTGGGATGAAACTATAGCACTGGATTTTCCACCAAGTTCCTAGGTGAAGCATTGCTAGAACAATACTTCTGTTTTGGCACCATGTTTAATCCCTGGCCTGGGAGACAGAGACAGACAGATCTCTGTGAGTTCAAGGCTAGCTTGATCTACAGAGGGAGTTTCAGGACAACCAGGGCTACACAGAGAAACCTTGTCTACAAAAGCAGAAACAAAAAAATAAGAATTAATAGTCCTCTCCCCACATACCCACACATAGAAAGTCTCACTTTACTGGTTTCCTGTCTGTCTGCCTCTCTCTCTTTCTCCCTCACCCCCTCCCATGCTGTCCCTTTCTTTGTCTCTCTCCTGCTCTTCCTCTCTGCCTCTCTCCCTCCTTGCCCCCCCCCAAATTGTGTGTGTGGCGAGGGTGGGGGATAACGGCACAAGTCTCGCTCTGTCCCAGGCTGTCCTCAAACCTCCTGCCTCGGCCTCCTGAGTGCTAGTGTTCACTAGGCCCAGCTTTTTATTCTTACTGCCATTATTTCCCCACGTGTAGGCTTATGTTTTATATCAGGAAGTGAAGTACCTTCTGGGTATGAATTACCACCACTTCTGTTTTGGGTCACAAATCTGTACTGTTTAGGGGCCACAGAATTTCAAATTCTGTAAATTGAATGCTTGAGTTTGACTTGTCTTCTATGCAGTGTTCTCTGGCTTCCCTTAAGCTTTTGTTGGAACACAATACTTACTGGTTGTCTGGAAATAGTTACAGACATAAAACTTCACTGTTCTGGGTTTGTGTGTTCAATCTATTTTCAGGGTGAAATTTTCCTTTTCATGTTTTAGGCAGCTGCTCTTTTGCCGAGTGACCTTAGGAAAGTCTTTCCTGCAGTTCAGTGCAATGAAAATGGCACATTCTCCTCCTGGCCATCACTCAGTCACTGGGCGGCCCAGTGTAAATGGCCTGGCGTTAGCTGAGTATGTGATTTACAGAGGAGAACAGGTACTTCATTTGTGTTTATCTTCAGCAGTGTGTGGCTCTTACATGACGGGGCATGTTACATTAACTGGATTTGGGTGCGGGGAGGATAATTTCAGGCTTGGAAATTTACAAATAAAATGTTTGGCATAGATTTTCAAAATCAGGAAAAAAAAAACATTTATAAACCTATCTAACCTGTTCAAAGTTTGTTGGTCATTACGGGATCTTTTTCCCCTTTTTTTCTATAAAATATAGCTATGATGTTTAATTCTTCCTTGCTGTCGGTGACAAAACCCTATTGAAATGCTGGTCTAGAGCAGCATCCTAAGTCAGGGTTGGTGGTAGAATTCCCTCAGATACTGACAGCAGCAAACCCTAGCCCTGCCTACTGAGAGGACCTAAAGGAGCAGAGTCAGGGTGGGAATATTTAGAGAAATATCCCCAGGTAGTTCTGGTCTGCAGACTCCTCAAGGTTTGGGATGCTTATGCAAGGACACCTTAACACTTGAATTAATCTTTCTCTTCCAGGCTTATCCTGAATATTTAATTACTTACCAGATTGTAAGGCCTGAAGGTATGGTTGACGGCTGAAACCAATTCCACCAAACCTAACGTCCCGAAGCAGCTGATGGCCTCTTAAGGTTCACTCCTTGGCTGGAAAAAAATTCATCCTGGCTACAAGCCTGTGGCAAAAACGATAAAAATGTGAAAGAAGCTTAACATTCTGACTGATAAAGCTTTAATAATGTACAGTGTTTCTAAGTGTTTCCTGTTTCTCAGCACTTTAACAGATGCCATTCCAGGTTCAACTGGGTTTATCTGTACTAAATTATAAACAGTTAACTTGAATCTTTTATACATTGTGTATTGATTCTAACAAAAATGGTAATGCCCTCAACAGAACTCATTTTACTAATCAGTCCTGTGTTCTTTAAAACACAGCATTTACACTGAATACAATTTCATTTGTAAAATGTAAATAAGAGCTTTTGTACTAGCCCGATATTTATTTACATTGCTTTGTACTATAAACTGTTCTAGAGCTGCAGCGGTTTACAGAGTATTTTCATATGTGTTGCTCATCTCTGTGTTTCCATCCATCGTCGCCTGAGTGATCGCCACATTTGATTCCAGAGGCTGCTCGGTTGCTGGTGGAGACTTAGTGGGAAAACATTGATTTATCAAATTTAATTTGCCTGATGGAAGCATTTCTCTCACAAGAAATACTTTCTCATTTAAGAATTTATTGACTGTTCTGGGAATTTCATTTGTGATGCCTTTGTATCTACAAGGCACACATTCCAGAGAGCTCCGATGTCAACTGATGGGGACTGGTGGCTCAAGAAGCCTTTTCGATGGCCTCAAACTCTAGTTCTTGCTTCAGAGAGTTTTCTGGTGTTCTGAATGTCAGAGCAAGCTCCCGCAAGGTTTCAAGAGGCCTAAGCCTTGGCTCTGATCTTGGGATGTAAGTAGAAGTGCAGTTTTAGTTAAGGGGAAGGCTATCCTGAGCAATTCCCAATCAGTTCTAATGACCTTCAGTCTAAAAGGGAGAAATAGCAAGTAGGAGTGGGTCTTTTCTTTTTTTCTCCTCCCCTCCCCTCCCTTCCCCTCCCCTCCCCTCCCCTCCCCTCTTCTCTCTCTCTCTCTCTCTCTCTCTCTCTCTTTCTTCTAGTTTTTCTTGATATTTTGGTTGTATTTATGGCCAAGTCTACTTATCATGAGTAAACACAACCCAGAACCATGAATGTGAGTATATCTGTCTGTGGGTAGCCTCTGGAATGGGCAAACCCAGTGCTTCCTACTCCTGCCAAGGCATTCTGCCCAGTTGGAAATACGCCGTCACAGGCTTATGTTCAGCATGGCAGCTGTGGAAGAAATTACTTTCCATGAAAGGCCACTCGACTGTTTTAATGTAAGCCCTATAATCATGGTCTTGCACAGAGGCCTACCTTCCTGCGGTACACTCAGAAATCAAGGAGAGATTTTACCCACCTAAGTCTTTGTAAATGAGGATGTCCTCTTTCCTCTCTGCAACACTTTATCTTTGTTTCGCATTTACTTGTCTCTTAATTAACTGCTCCTTTATAGAAACTTGTACATATAGTTGCTCAAAAGTCAGATTTATTGTCTGTGAGTTAAGAGAAATGTATTTCTGGATTTATTCCTCTGATGTAAATTGTGGTTAAGGATTAAGTGGTTAAAACCTGACCTGGAAGTGCTTTTATACAGCTCTCTATTAATTGCAAATGTGATCCTAAAATCATTTCTTGGAACATAAAAAGATATGCCAAATTTTATAGAATTTTCAGGTTCTGTAAGCTTTTGGATTTTATAGTTAAAAGATAGTGAAATTAATTAATGGGATTTATATTTACATACTTCTCAAGTTTGGCCTATATTATACTCTGCGTGGATCTGGAATTGTTTCTCATGTAAAATCATGGTCTTGTTATGAGCTGTTACCTCCTCTAGCCCATTGCTCACTTGTGTTGTTTTCCACTGTGGTTAATGCGCTAGCATGGCAATGTTTATTGGGAGCTGGGAGTTTGGGGGTGTGGTTTGGTGCTTTGCATGAAATATCTTACTTTATAATGATGGAATTGTTTTTTCTTTTGCCTTGTGATTTTTTTTTGAAGTGAATTTAATTTGTGTGTGTGTAGTGCTCTTCTGCCCATCTGTGTCACTTGTATCACATTCCATGCCCTCACTTAATTCTTAATAAACTGTTTACTTGTTTTCTGGGTAGCATGATAATTACTGGAGTAGTGTAAATGTGTTGAATGGTCCTTGAGAAATTCATTGAGATCATAGTAAATCATAATTTCAGGAAAACAGTGTATTTTGAGTCTGATAGTGTCAGGGTGCAGCATAAATGTAAAATGTTGACTGTTGTGGCTGTACTTATTCAGATCTTTATGATAAAAGTAAAATGTGTTTGAACGTTTACACCATCCAAGATGACAGTGGTGGTCCTAAAAATTCATGAAATTCAGTCTGCTTAGCTTATAAAGAGAAATATATTTTTGTTTTCTATGTCAAAAACATTCTTGATAAGTTTCCAAATCTCAGTCATATTTTTTCTCTAAAAGGAAAAAAAGTGGTGTATTTTATATTTCTGTGTGCTAATGACCTATATGTAATCAGTCCTCAGCGTTCCATAAGAAGAGAATGATGATGCAGGTATCCCTGAGTCTCACTTTGAAGTCTATCTAAGCTGCTTTATCTTCCTGCTTCATTTAAGATGATACTGAAGTGTTTGCTTGCTGTTTCCTGAGCGTGCATGCCCACGTATGATGTGATCCAGTTGTTTGCAGGTTGAGGAAAGAAAACTTGCAAATAAATTTCCCAAAGCTTTTAACAATTAGTTCTCGACTGTGCCTTTACCTCCTGTCCTGTCCAGTTGGCAGACTGCAGTGACAGAAAGTGTGCAGTGGTCCCTAGAGAAGACTGCCTTTCACCGACTCCCTAATTCCCTGGACACTCCCTGTGTTTCTTGGCCTACTGGGTTGTGGCCTGAAATGGTTATTACTATTACGTGTCCTCTCCACTTAGACACTCACTCACAGATGCTATTCCCATAACACGGATAGCCGGGAGCCCTAGAATGATGTGCCAGCATACATAGAGGAATCTACACAAGTGCGCTCTGCTAATGGGCTCTGTCTTCACACTTTGTTCCACCCAGTGGAAAAGGGGAAAAAGAAAGTGAGGATGCCACTCAGTGGTAGAGCAATTACCAAGCAATAAGCAAGCTATCTAGCACTATCAAAAAAAATAATAATGCAAATTTTTAATTTTTCTCTATAAAATTATTGATCTGCAAAAGACTAGAAATTTTAATTTGAATCAGGTGTGGTGGCTAATACCTCTAATCCTAGCACTTGGGAAGCAGAGATAGGCTGATCTCTGAGTTCTAGGCCAGCCTAGTCTACAAAGCAAGTTCCAAGACAGCTAGGGTTACACAGAAACCCTGTGTGGGAATTGGGATAATTTGAAAAGTTTTAGAACCAGGTGGTGGTGCACACCTTTAACCCCAGCACTAGGGAATGAATGCAGCCAGTGTCTAGATGAGCAATAAGGCTGATGATCCCTGGGATCCACATGATGGAAGGGAAAAACTGACTGAGTTGCCTTCCTTCTTCTATACATGTGTACATTCACCCATCCCCACATCTCATGTTCACACAAAATAAAATGTAATTATTTTATTTGTTTAGGTATTTTGAAACACGCCTCCTTAGTCCAGGATGCTCTCAAACTCAGTTTAGTTCTGTTACAGGCCTATGCCAAGCAGGTGGTATATATGCAGGCAATATACCCATACACATAAAATAAAAAACACTGAGAAACTAAAATGCAACTCAGAAAAAGTAGAAGTCTGCCACCTGAACCTTTCATTGCCCTCAGAACAGAGGGGAACACATGTGTGCCACTCCGATTGTAACGGTGGTGATTGACATCCTAACCTTAGGAGGAACCCAAGGTTATTAACAGGGTTTAAGCCCAGTGTGGAGGGATTGGTCTGAATGGCTAGCTTTTTTGCAAGAAATTCATTAATGGTGTTCGCCATGTACTCTACCAGAGTTAAATGGACAAGGCCTGGCTACTGCTGGGAACTGATCTACTCTGGGAATCAGAAAAGCCAGGAGACAGTTCTGATCACACAATAGGATGTTATTTTGTTGCACATTACTGCACACAACCAGCTTTGTAAATAGGTGCCGAGGATTTGAACTCAAGTTCTCATGTTTGTGTAGCCAGCACCCACTGAGCCATCTCTCCTGCCCATTCTTCCCTTTCAGAGTCTGCACACCATTACATAGAGGGAGCAAGCTAGTAAAGACTGCAGCAGTAACAACGCAGCAAGGCACAACTAGTAATAGAAGTAAGTCAAAGTTTTCTAAGAAGTTGACTGCCAAGAGGTGAAGAATAGAGACTGTGGAGTACTCAACTCTAAAATAGAATATCTGTGTTACAACCTCCCTGCAGTGCTCTGGGATCATCACAGAAAAGGGGGCCAAGATCTAAAGAGCTACAAGTATGCCTGCAACAAAACTATTTATTGGATGTGACAAGGCTGTTGCACACATAACTAAGATCGAGCCAACAGAAATCTAGGCATAGGTGGAAGAGGGGCTTATGAAGTCCTTTAGCTGTGTCGCTATTTGGCAAATGATGGTTGCTGAAAATAGGGAGTACCTTTTTCCAGGGATACAGATGAAGCTCCAGTAGATGTCTCCACACCCATGCCCATCCGATCAAACACTAAATGAACTCTGGGTGTTACTACATGACATTGAGAAGGGGAGTAGGGGAGTCACTGGAGGAGGGAGGAATAGTGGTGGGATTGGAACCTAGCGTGTGTATGAATATTAACTTTTTAAAAATAATACCAGTCAGTTATTCTCAAAATTAAACTCAAAGCCCATGACTGGTAAGTGAAGTCCTTCCTGACACCCCTGTTTTCAGAAACTCACCCTACATGTGCTATGTTCCTGGCATCTGGGAGAAAGCCACAGACATGCACACCTTTGAGATGCAAGACAGGTAGCTCTCTCTGGTTCTCAGAGTCTCAGCTCAAGCTAGGACTCTAAATTTAGGAACCCCATTTCCTCCTTATCCCAGCCAATTCACGGCTTTACCAGAAGAGGCAAAAACCCACTTTGAGCTTACCTTCCAAAGAGGCCAACAGAATTCAGTGCTTAGGCCAGGAGAGTGCATCGGATCCCCTGGACCTGGAGTTAAGGATGTTTGTGAGCCACTGTGTGGGTGCTGAGAATTGAACCTAGGTCAGCTAGTGCTCTTAACTGCCGAGCCATCTCTCTAGGCACCCCCTCCCTATCCAACTCCCCACAACACACACACACAAACATCTGCATTTTAAACTGACCCAGGTAAGGTCAGGTAGAGTCAGGATGAAGCTGTAATGGAAAGGCTTATAGCGGTTCCAAGTGACAGTTTCAACCCCACTGTTCACAGTGATGTCTCTGTTGAAGAAGGAGAATATTTCTGTTCTGACCACTGAACAAAAGAATGAATCCGGGTAGAAAGGACCTGGCTGCAGGTTAATAGATTTTCTTGTAAAAAGGCTAGCAGGTTCCAGTGGAAGTTTATATAGTCTATTTGTTATTTAAAGACAGGGAGTATAAAAGCTAATCCAATGGGAATTTGTGCTGTCCTTTGGGAATACGATGGATCTGTCTGCGTGCGAGAAATCGTGAATGAGCAAAGGATCCATGGCTCAGTGGGCAGGAGGGGCACCGGGGAGACCACCCGTCTGGATAATCAGACATTCACATTGCCCACTGTCTTGCTCCATTGTATCCAAATGTGAGAAGCTGCTCTCCAGTTCTCCTGTCAAAAGCTCTTTATTGGACTTTACTGAGGCATGATCCCAGCTGCTGCGTTGACTGCCAGCTACTGAAGGGGTTTGGCTTGGCGGTGTCAAGCAGCTTTGCCCCCAAGGAGATTTATGATCTGTGAAAGATAGTCAAATTAACACCCTGAGCATTCCTGATAGGATTAGAGGCCCGCATTTTCATGCTTCTCTGACACACCACACAATCTTTTCTCAGCCTTGCTGGGTGGGGTTTGTGGAGGTAATTAGAAGGAGCTGGCCACACACCCTTCTCCCATCTGGCCAGGCAAAGGGTCACTATGCATTTCCAGAGGGGTTGTTTGGGATTCAGCATCTCATTGCTGCACCATTTGTAGAAGACTGAGGACAGCCTCGGGTTCGGGTCTCACCTTCCACGTTAGAGATAGGATTTCTGTTGTTTCTGTGCTGCAGAAAGCAGACTCACGACACTGGCCCTGCTCTCGGCGACTCGGCGCCTCACACTGCCTCCAGCTTTTATACCGGGTCTAGTATTTTGAACTCAGATCCTCAAATATATGTGGGGAATGCTTTTATCCATTAAACCATCTCCCCAGCCTGTTATTATCTTTTTGCCTTGGGAGGCAGGACCACTAACAGAAGAATCCTATCAATGTACTTGAGCCCCATGAAATAAAAGTAACTCCAGCAAGCCATGTCTGCCGTGGCAGAAGGATGTATACGCATGCACGCGCCGTGTGTGTGTGTGTGTGTGTGTGTGTGTGTGTGTGTAAAATCTCCAGAATTTCACAGGATCTCTAGAAAAGAAAGTGAAACCAGAGCCCAATGCCTTTGTTCTAATGTTAAAATGCCTTCCAGATTCTCCAGGACTGTGTCTACAAGGTGGACCATCCTTTGCCAGCACAAGCTCCAGTCTCTTAGCTGTATATCTGCTGGATTTTTTTTTTTAAGTATGTCCTTGCTTTTTATTTTCAGGGTAAGATAGTTTCTGGTATGAAATCTATCTCAATATACTTGAGCTATGTACCTAATCTGTATTCAGAAATGAATTTAATTTTTCTGATTTAATTGAAGATTATGACCCAGGAATCAATCATTTTTATTGTCTTGTCCAATAGGAAGTTACCTGATATCCACTGTGAAAAAAAAAAAAGAGTTCTCAAGGCTGGTTGCCATTAGAATCAGTACCTATAATCAACCCCACCTCTAGGTTGGGGAAACTGAGGCAGGAAGACTAGCCTGTCTTCAGAGCCTGAGCTGCAGCAACAGACCTTCCTCCCCAACACATACCCACATATCATTGGGGAATTTAAAGAACACTTCCTTCTGATTATCCATTAAGTGTAGACTTGGAAATCTGAGCATCCAGACTCATTTCTCACAAGCAACACCCTGTGAAGCGACCTCCAAAACAAAA